CAATTGTCTCAAACAGGATATTATTGCTCGGGCTTCCCGAGTTCAAAAATGGGCTAAAGGCCGACGTGGAAGTTTCGTTAATGCTAAGAACGCTGAAAAATTCTTTATTCAAGTGCCTTTAGTCTTAATTTATATGATCGAAAAGTCCCAAATATGGGCAGACGATGGCCAACCTCGACCTTAAGGTCTGTAATAACAATAATACAAATACGTTGGGTTTAAAGATTGACGAGAAAGAAAAATGCTAACTATACCCTAAAAACTATTTGACTCAGCCGCCCCAAGTCTCACATGCTGTAGTCCATTTACGCAGAGGTAACTAAAGAAATGTAAATTCATTTTAACATTGTATTTTTTTAGAATCTTACTGTGTATTTTGAGAGTTTTTATTGTAGCTGTATTTTGTAAGTAATGTTATTCTTATTTTTAATATATAGTTTTATTCATTTGTAAATATTTTTACACCACCCCCAAGCTTTGAGCTTTAAATCATATCGTGTTTAAATAAAGGATATATATGTATGTATGTATAATATGTTTTCCGATGATAAAGTTGAAACGAAACGTCGCGCCGGAACAGTATATAAGTGACAATCGCTAGACAAACGATAAACGAAACCCCTCATACACATTATCCACAATGAACAATATCTTCCATGACAAAGTTGAAATTATTTAAAAAAAAAACTTCCTGTTATCTAATTCAGGAATTAGACATCAGGTTTTCAGGACAGCACGTACTGGCGCCTATAATTGTTCAAACCATTAACATAAGTGGCGTTATACTAAAGAGAAACTAATTGAAAACACTGTCATTCACATCATGTTATTGATTCATTTTTTGGGACGAAGATCAACACCGTTTTGCAATAAAATTGCCTTTTGGCGGGTTTCTGCATTGTAGGAGTGCCATCTTTCGTTCGGCCTATAAGCGTGCCCACCGAGAAAATAACCTGCGAGCAACTGATTACTTGTGCGCGTTCGGGGAAAATTTATGGCG